AGACACACCGGGGTACGGGGGCACTTGCGAAATTGGGCTCGTTCACCGTGCTTGGCACGGCGATGGCTCTTCAAGGCTCGCGCGGAAGCGAAAGACAAGGCACATGCAGCACATGTCCAGGTCAAACCCTGGGCCAGGGGGGTGGAATGCGCTTTTCGATCGCAAGAGGCTCACAAGTTCACTCCATCCCCGCTCGTCTCTTACAAGCGCTTCCCACTGGCCCTGGTCGTCCCGCGGGATAGGGAAGGTGGGAGGGCAGCACCTGACGCGTAGCAGCTCAGCGTCTTGCATGAGCCTCGAGACCCACTGCAAAGACTGGCCTCGGACTTGAACGTGCAGCAAAGCGAGGAGAGCAGACAGGCGAGTCTGGATCAGACGCCCCCAAAACAGCAATCGGGTATGTGAGATGAGGCAATCAAGGGAATGCTGGTTCAACCGTCGCCTGACCTCGCTGTCAGTCCACTGGACCTTGTCAGAGAACTGGCTGTCTCCACAGATCTTGCGTAGCACGCGCATGTAAACGCCGTTGAGCTTGCGTAGAACTTTCGGGCGAGGGACCGTGATATACACAGCGAGTGGCAAGCAAGACATAATCAAGCTCTGCAGGAAGAAAAGCTCGTGTGTCAACGAGACAAGGCGAGACCCAAACGCTTTGCTTCATAGTGGCGCGTGCGCGGACGTCGCGCGGGAACACCAGTGCAAAGCGTTCGTGAAAGTGCTGCCATCGATTTCGGTGTGTGCCAAGGTGCAAGCAACCCTCGACGATATCAGTGGCAACCCCTGGACGGCCAGGGACTTGTAAGCGAAGCCTGCCGTCAGCACACCGCCCGGCCTCCCTGTGTCGGGATTCACCGTGGCCTCGATATCGCACGAGCGCTGCCGTTTTGCCAGGTTTGCATGCTGTCGAAAGTATCGTACGGAGTCCCGATCAGGGTCTCGATAGCAGCGTCCAGCACCGCTCTCGAACCATGCAAGCAGAACGAGTGCCTCATCGTCTACAAAAGTATCGTCCACAACGGAAGTAGGGTCAAGCTCATACTGGGTCTCTTCGGGGGGAGCTTAGAAAGAGGAGGCTGGAAGGGGCAAACGAAGTGTGATGCTAGCCTGCGCCAACTTCCACTGAAGCATGTGTAGGGCAACATAATAAACAGCATTACAGGTTAAAGCGCGGAACTTGCGTCCTTGCCGGCCACCCGTACGGCTAGCAATCCGCTCCCCGACTTTCTCATTTCCGAACCATGCGCCGGCATGAAATGATTGATACAAAGCAGCGGCTGCAGAGTCCACCTGCCACTGATGAAAGAGATGCCCTTTTTTCATCAAGGTACCGTAGAATCCAAACGGCAGCATCCTCGCTGACGCCGAGCGTCTTCAGAGCAGCTTTTTGGTCGGCGGGAGGGGACGGGCCCCACCCAAAACCAATCTCGCGAATTTCCTTGTCGAGGCCTTGATAAGAGCGTGTTTCATCATTGCTTGGGGCATAATGGGTATTATAGCCCCCGTCCCTCCCCCTCCCCCCCCCTCTAACGTAACGCCCCTCCCCCCCAGTGCGCTCTGGGCACTGCCGCCGTGCGCACGGCGGGGGGGAGGCGTTACACTATACCCCCCCCTGGCCCCTCCCCCCCCCGCTATAATGCCCATTCTTCCAAGGTCGACAAAAATCACTGCGAAGGAGCAGCCCTTCAGATTGGAAACTTCGACGGCGGCTCCGATCATGAACGACGCTTTTGATCGGTGCCTCGCCGCCAAAACTGCGTGGCGGGCATATTTCGCAGGGAAAAAAAGGCAATACACAGACACACAATTCATCGTCGATTCCCCAGAACATGTGGAGAATATGGGAAGTGTGGTGGGGAAGACGAAAATACCAACACAAACATGAACAAATATAGGGAATCCTGGGATTTGTGTGTATTTAGTTGCGTGTCCCTGGGCCCCCTCAATATTGGATTCATAGACGGGGTCGATGGCTCGCTTTACGATCCCAGCCAAGACTTTGCCAGAATGGTCAGCAAGCAGAATACCTCGACTACGATCGCAGTCGCGCGGATCCCCTTTTTTCTGATAACACTTCCTGCATGCGCCCTCCGCGCCATTGGCGGGGCCAGGACGCATTTTGAAGCACTCGCTGATCGACCGCAGAAAACTTGCATGCGAAAGGGTCCCCCCTGCCTGCAAGAGCTGAGCCAGGATCCGGTCATAGCCGACGCCCTTGTCGCGGCCAAGCGAAGCATAAGCAGCAGAAGTCGCCACGGGGCTTACATCCAAAGAGGTCGCAACATCCAAATGAGGCCGAGGAGGCTCGCGCAACGTGGCATCATTTATGGGGACGCCCCCAAGCACCTCAGAAAAATGCTCACGGCACCGGTGGCGAACCTGAAGGGGGTCTGAAGTGACGTCCTCCCACGGCAGAAGAGTGTTGACATTCGCCGTGGTCCCCTTGAGCACGCAACGCCCACGGCGTGACGGGGCTCGTAGCGTTCCACCTCGCGGGAGGCCC